GGGGGAGGTGGGACAGGTTATGGGGGGATAAATGGTGATGGAAAAAAATGAAATTAATTTTAATAAAAAGAAAGAAAAATACAAATGAGAACATTTAGAAATAATTTGCAATCCAACGTCCCAGATATAATTGCTGTTAATGTTTGATAGAGGTATATATAACTTTCCAATATTTTTCTCTGCAAATGTGTCGTCCCCCCCCAAACAGGGACATAATACACAGATTCTTTTTCTAACCTGATTTTAATTCCATTAACATCTTTCTTGGCCATTAACAATTATTTTGCAATAATGGTTTTTAAACATTTATGCCCTGGAACTGTTTTTAAACAAAAGCCTACCAGGAACCTCAAAACCCAAACGGGATCAAGATAGAGCCCCTGTGATCAGAGCACGCGCGGGGCCCTGACGCCAGCCTGGCCCTGTAAGGCGCCCCGGCCCCGTCTGAAACGGCTGTTGCCTAATGTCGTCGCTGTGGCTGTGTGGTAAGAACAGAGCATCTCCCACTCAGTCAGCCTGCTCGGCTGTGTCCAGGTCTTCCCTTTGTAAACTGATCCTACGTTCTTTGAACGCATCCCATAATTATTTCCCAAGGAAGGTTCTGAACACGGGGTATGACATAACCAGAGCCATTAATGTGAGTGCTAAGTGCAGTGAAATCTTACTTAACTGGAACTCAGCAAACCACAATCCTTAATTAACCAATTTTCTTTTGCTCAACTTTGGAGAACATAAAGGGAACTCCCTCCCCCCTCCCTCTTTCTCTCTCTCAGATACACACACACGCACACAGAATGATGAAACAGGGATTAATTTAACGACTATGTGCAAGAACTGTACTCTGAAAACTATAAAAGAATCGCTGAGAGACATTCAAGATGAGTATAAATGGTGAGCTCTCCCATGCTCAAGGACTAGAAGACTCAATATTGTTAAAATGCCAGTTCTCCCCCCACTGATCGGTAGGTTAAACACAATGACATTCAAAATAGTAGCAGTTATTTTGAAAAATTTAGTCAACAAACTGAGATTTACGTGGAGATGCAAAGCATGTAGAACCGAGAAAACAAGAGTGAAAAAGAGCGAAGTCGGAGGACTTGACTCCATGTGGTTTCAGGACCTGCCCCGGAGCTAAGTGACAGCGACCGGGACAGGATGGCAGCAAGTAAGGGCTGACATATCGGCCAGCGGGACAGAACAGAAACTCCATAAATTATTATTATTATTATTATTTTAAATATCTTTATTGATTTCAGAGAGAGGAAAGGAGAGGGAGAGAGAGAGATGGAACCATCAATGATGAGAGTCATTGATCGGCTGCAGCCTGCAGCCCAGGCATGTGCCCTGACCAGGAATCAAACGCCGATCGCCTGGATCCTAGGTCAATGCTCAACTGCTGAGCCACGCCCGGCTGGGCAGAAACTCCATAAATTAGACCCACACGAAGATACGGTCGATTGATTTTCTAGCAAAGGTGCCAAGATAATTAAGTTGGGGGAAGGATAATTTTTTTCAGCAAAAGGTGCTGGAATAACTGGTTGGCTAGACGCACAAAAATGAGCTAAAACTATAAACTTTCTTTTAAAAAAAAAAAAGCCCAGATGGCGTGGCTCAGTGGTTGAGCATCAGTCCATGAACCCGGGGGTCACGGTCGATTCCCGGTAAGGGCTCGTGCCCGGGTTTCAGGCTCAATCCCCAGTAGGAGGTGTGCAGGCGGCCGCCGATCAGTGACTCTCATCACTGATGTTTCTCTCTCCCTGCCTCTCTCTGAAANCTGATCGGGCCTGATCGACTCTAGGGAAGTGCTCACCCTTCCCAGGTCACCAAAACCGTCTGGGCAACACCCCGCGTCTTGCTAAGGCCCGTGCCCGCTCACCCGGCTCTTGCTAGCACTCGCCTGTCTTNAATCAGTAAAAACATATTTAACACACGCAACAGGAGAAAATCTTAGTGATCTTGGGTTAGGCAAAGATTTTTAAAATAGAACATGAATTATGCAGCCAGCCCTGGCCGTGGGGTGGTCACAACCTAAGGCTCATCTTTCAAGGACGCTAAGGACTATGGTCAGAGCTGCCACCCGACCCGGGAGGCTCCGTTCCTGGAAGGGAAGGTGGAGCGAGACCTGGTTTGCCCCTGAGACTGGAAATGGATAAACCAGCCTCCAACAGGTTCTGCAACCTGCCTGAGATCTTATCGAGAGCTGGGGAAACTCCTGGGTTCTTTCAGCCAAACTCCCAGGAATCTTAGCAGGCTGCTTGCTTCTGTTTAATTGGGGCCGTGCCTCCTGGCTGCTGCTGTCCTCTGACGAGGCGATTTTGCATCCAGAGGACTCGATTCATTCATCCTCGCGTCCACTAAAGAAACCTGACGCACACTCGCTCTGTCAGCACAGAGAGCCCGCTCTTGGGAGAGGCAGAGCCCAGGTGACACTCCCCCTCTGCCTCTTGCTGGCCACATGGCCTGAGTGGACCTCCTGAGCCTCAGTTTCCCTTCCTGTTTGAGGAGAAGAGAGTGATCACCTCCCCGCGCAATGACGCAATGACCTGGGGATGGGCCTGGTGCAGGGCCCCACGTCCTATGTGCCCGGGAGTATTCGCTCCCCTCCCCTCGCTCCAGGACTCTGCAGACCACAGGGCCCTGGGTGGCTGGTGGCCACAGCCCTGGAATTCCCGCGGCCTAGTCGCATAAGAGTAATGCAGCCCCGAGGGGCAGCCCCGGCTGGGGCCAGCCCTGTCCCTCTGACCCACTCCAGGACTTTCTCCGGCAACTCTCCTCTCTCAGTGGCCGGGGTTTCGCTGTCGTCAGCATGCACACATGCCGCAGTGGTTCATTTGTAGCCCCCTCAGGGCGCTTCACTGTGGCCCAGTTCCTGCTCCTCCCAGCAAAACCGTGGCAGGCCGTCTCCACTCGCTGCCGCCTCTTCCTCTGATCGGGCCTGATCGACTCTAGGGAAGTGCTCACCCTTCCCAGGTCACCAAAACCGTCTGGGCAACACCCCGCGTCTTGCTAAGGCCTGTGCCCGCTCACCCGG